AAAAAAAAAAAAAAAAAAAAAGATCTTAAAAATTGGATTGCTGTTTTATCTTCTGTTAGTCCAAGTTAAAGGGAAATGATGCCCAGAATGCCCAGGAAGCTTGTGGCATGCTGTTTCTGCACAGTTTGTCTCTGGAGAAAGTGTAATATGTGCCTTTCCCACAGCAGAGTCACAGCCTTCTTTGCTGGGATGGAAAGGCTGTTTCCCAGCTTTTCTTCTGCCCTAATTTACAGCCCGAAGCCCAAGAGGGAGAAGACGTTGCCTGTAACCCAGAGCCTCCTTCACACAGCCTGGGCCTATGGGCCACAGCCATTTTCTGAGTCAGGTCTTGAGTCAGAAATGCTGTCATGGAGTCAAGCCAAATAGATTCCAAATGATAGAATCTATTTTTTCCTGTTGGGTTTGAGTCAAGGTAGTCAGTATGGTATGTGAGTAGTTCCCCCAAGCTTACCTCATAGACATTCAAGGTACAGGTCTTTGAATGAAGGAGGGATCTTGTGTGGGCTTTGCCAGTCTGGAGCCCAGGTGAGTCATTACCACGTGGGAAGCATCCCTGGCCTCTGGAGACTGGGAGGGGCCCCAGGCAAGGGTTGGACATCAGGGCTGCCCATCCAGTTTTCCACCAACATCGTCACCACCTCGTAGTCTGGAATGACTGACAGCCTGCGGTGGAGGAGGAGCTGGCTAAAAGTGGAAAAGCAGAAAACATTTTCAGGTTGGGAACTCGAGGTGGATTTTCAAGGCACGTTTGCACAGTATTGTGCCAAGCCAAGTCAGGGCTGATCCGCATATCAAATCGGATCCCAGGATTGAAATGGAGCTCTGCAGATCCACTGGCCTGTCCTTCTACCTGCTACCCAGAGCAGAGGGAGACCTACCTACCCCCCTACCCAGATGTCCTCCCCACACCGTTCCCTTCCTCCTCCTCCTCCTCCTTGTCTTCCTCCTTTTATTAATGTTATCCAGCTTAAAATATGTATAACCCATTCCAGTCTCAATGCAGAAATGCAGAAGATCATACCAGAAGAAAAGTAGCCAGAAATGAGCCCACTAATCAGCACCAGATTATTAATAAAGGGCAGAATGAGAGTCCAGCTAAGAGGCACAAGAGTCACTGGCTAGGAAGTTCAGCCCAGTGATTAGAGGTCTATGATGGATGCTCATTGGCCTGAGTTTGAATGCTGCCTCTGTGGCTTACAGCTGTGACCTTGGTTTCTCTGACCTTCTGTTCTCTCACTGCAAGATGGGGTGAAAATACCATGTTATAAATTAGCCTGAGAATTGAGGGCACTTCGCACAAGTAGAAGCTGTTAGCATAATTGTTACTCCTCCTCCCATGCGGTACAGAGTGTGTGATGGCCTTCCTCTTTTCCAGTGGGTTGTGCCAATGCTAGTGCAGAAGGGGATGTAAATTCTTAGGAACTTGACACCAGGCCATGTGGCCACCATCAGTTCTCCTCCAGCAGCCTGAGGTTGGAAGGGGCCCTGTTTCATCTGTCTTCCCTGATCTCACCCATGAAGCCCATGGGGTAGGGGGATCACAATTCAGATAGATGGAGATGCCCTTGAGAGGAAGGGTGAGCACTCTGGGATGCTGTCATCTGGGGTCGAATTCAGGCTTCTGTGGGGTGCAGAGGCCAGCAGAGCAGCAGCTCACCCCTCCCACGTCCCTTGCCAGCTTACTCTCCAAAGTGGGAGCCCCGAGTCAGCCTAGCTTCTCAGGGGAGAGTCCCCAGGCCTTCCAAAGGCGGCTCCGCCAGAGCAGCCAACTTCTGTGTCCAAAATGCAGTAGGGCTTATTCCAAAACAAAACAACCAAAGCAGACCCCTGGTGTTTCCTTGGCTTATTTCCTTAACTGGAGAGAAAGACAGATCTGGGCCCTGTGACACAAGTCAGGCCAAGATTTTTCTAAGCCCCTCCATTCCTGGGGCCCAGGAATAGCAACAATAGTAAACATAATAAAAACTAAAAATCATGGAATGTTTACTGAGTGCCAGTACTATTTAACCACTTTGTATATAAATGATTTCACCTAACAACCCCCTGCAAAGGAATGCTGAGGTTCTTGTTCCCCTTTTATAGAAGAGAAGTCTAGGACACAGAACAGTTAAGTCACATGCTAAAGCTCACACAGCTAGTAATGACCAGGTGAGTTTTAGAACCCAGACAGTCTGGAATTAGAGGCTGTACACTTAACAGCCCTGTCTCTCATAAAATAAGCCATTTATGTGTGTGACAAAATGGTATAGAACTATGCATACACATTACTTCAATGTCAACTTCTTAATTTTTCTATTGTACTCTAGTTATATGAGATGCAAAAATATGGGGGATATACTGGGCAATAGGTACACAGAACATTTCTGTACTGTTATTTGGCAGTTTTCCATGAATCTATAAGTATTTCAGAATAAAAGCTCTAAACAAAAATACCATGATAAACAGTGTATTACGTTATTATATGTCAAGCACTGTTAAGCATTTTACATTCATTATTTTATTCATTTCCACTGGGAACCCCATGAAATGTGACTGCTGTTATTCCATTCAGTTACAGATGAGGAAACTGAGGTTTGGCACAGTTTGTAAGTTGGGTAACATCAAGAGGAAGCAGCAAGGCCACTGGGTAGTACACATCTCCTTGTTTTATTACAAATATCAAGCGGGGGAAAAGTACCGAGTCCCTGCTGAGGGCTGCAGTCTTGCTTCTGCTGAAGTTTGGCCCATAGGATGCCAGGGACACAAGGTCAAGTACAACATGAAGGAGCATCTGTCAGAGGGAGGGTGACGTCATGGAGCCAAAGGCAAGTTACGTGTACAGTCACGCATCCATTCTCGATAAGGGTATAGTCTGAGAAATGCATCATTTAGGGGATTTTCCCTATGCTAGGTGAACATCACCATGTACTTATACAAACTAAGATGACTATGATGCTACTGGGGGTATAATTTTACATATGAAGGGGTATTATTTTGTACATGTGGTCCATTGTCAACAAAAAGGTTGTTATGCAGCACGTGACTGTATTTAGGGTTTTAACCCAGAGGAAATAAGCTGGCCCTGGAGCCAGATCTGGATAGTTAGACCCAAGCCAGGCACCTTCTTAGGATTCAAGGACACGGTGGGGGTTCAGCAGAGAACATTATCAATCACCACATTGGATGGCATCAGCGATTATCATCCTCATTTCCGTCAAAGGTGTCTTACGACAGTATATCGTCAAGTTCAATTTACTCAGAATTAGGACACAGCAAGGACTTATTTTCTATTTCTGCCCTGGGCTGACCCTGTCTTGAATAATTCAGTGTTCATTTACTTCCAAACACCAAGATTTTTTTTTTTCCACCCACTGTACTGCTTAATTCAGGGTCATGTGTTTGCTTATTCCTCTCTTCCTCTTGATCAGACCAACCCTCCTCCCCTCTACTCCACCTCTGGTTGCCAATGTACATGTTTTGGGCAGAGAGCACCAGCTTCATGTATACTACAGGCAGTGTCCACTGCATAAAGTCTAGAGATGGGCCTCAGGGCAGAGGCTGCACACAGGGGTCTGTAGATACCTTTTGACTTAATGCAAGGGCGGATCAAAACATACAGTGTGTGTTTAAATAAAATTTATACAGTAAAAGATACATTGCCATTAATCTCCCTCAGAATACTCCCCTCACTTCAAACATACTTATCCCATCATTCTTGCCACTTTCTGAAGCACTTCTGGAAGTCAGTCCTCTTTCATACGTGTCTGTCCAAGGTGTGATCCAAATTTTAGTGAGTCCTGCTGCTGAGTGCCATCCAGTAGAAAGGCAGACTCATGAAGATATTGCAGTGTGTCCTTGTGCACCTTAGTCACCAGGTCTGGCCCTGTGCCACTTCTGACTCTTCCCCAAAGTCAAAATGACCCTGAAAGATAAATGTTTCGAAGCAGTTCAGGACATGGAGGCCGCTACGACAGAGCAATGAAAGACATCGACAGGTCTTCCAGGACTACTAGAGAAGGTGGCAAGAATGATGGGGGCAAGTGTGTTTGAAGTGACAGGGGTATATTGAGGGTGACTGTGGCAATATGTCTTTATTGTAATAAAATTTTTTATAAATTTTAACATTCACCTTAGTTTTCCATCATACCTTGTCCTTTTGATTTTGCAATCAAAAAAATTCTTATGCTATTATTTAAAACGGGTGAGTTCTATACTTGGCACTAGTTAGCTAAAGCTGAGTAGCATCTGCCCCCTTTAGATGGGCAAGTGCTCCCCAATTTGTAGTCGGTTCCCCTGCCCACCAAACTTCACTCACTTACCGTGTACATCTGGTCCCACAAGTATCTAGCTGTCGCCCCTGATATTGATGAAGGAAAACTCTGCAGCAGAGCAGATGCCTCAGGTGCCTTGGTTGACCCAGAAACTCTGTTCCTCACTCTTGATGGAGGCAGCATAGCAGCAGGGAGCTCCTCATGGCCCATCCCTATCTTAGGCCAAAATTAGACCTGGTCCTCTTGGTTGGGAATCTGAGATTCCAGAGAACTCTCTGCTCCGCACTGAAATACCAATTGCAGCCAGATTCCTGGAAGAGTCCCTGGGGAATGACGAATGCTGACTCGGAGAGTTGTGGGGATGTGCATCGGTCTGAGAGGGAGGAGCTGGTTCAGCACACATCTGGGTGATGTGGCCCATTCGCTAGGTCACCAGATGAGGTGTCAGGAGACAGAAGTTTTAGTACGACTTGACCACTTGTTACATGGCCATTCGACTTTTTGTAGTCTCCCCTGTTTTTCTCATGTGTGAAATGGGGATGACTCAGTCTACTGTGCCTAACAACAGAGTGAATAAGAGGGTGAAAACATGATATGAATTGTAACGTTGTATTGAAAATTGAGGTGGTCTGACAGCCATGGTGTGCTGAGGAGGAACACACAACCTCAGAGATGTCGCTGTGAGTAGATCGGGTCAGCAAGCTGGGGCCCATGGGCCAAATCCTCTCTACTAGAAGTAGTTTTTATATTTGGCGATGGTTGAAGAAACAATCAAAAGACAAGCCATGTTTCATGGCACTTCGAATTTGTGTGCCTGTCTATTTCAGCACCCATAAGTAAGGGTTCCTGGAACACAGCCACACGCACTCATTCACACATTGTCTATGGCTGCTTGTGGGTCATTGTGACAGTAACAACATGGCCCACAAAACATAAAATATTTACTGTGTGTCCCCCAACAGAAAAAGCTCAGCAAGCCCTGTGTTCTGGTGGGCCAATGACCCAGTCAGTGGCTCTACCTTTCCCTCATTTCAGACACAGGTGCTACCGCAAGCAGATGGCCGGAGGAATGTTTTCAGATCTAAAACTGTGCAGGCAAGCCTTCTGTGGCCCACAGCAAAGCTGTCCTTCACAACAAAGCCAGGAATTCTCTGTTCAATTCCCACCCCTGTGCTTTGGGCTCCAGCTAGGGGCAGGCACTTCCTGATGAAAACCGCAGCACTTTTTGTAAAACCAATCTCTCTTTTAGCATTAACCACAAAAAGAGAAGAGGCTGTTCCTGTCACAGTGGGCATCTCTCCAGCATATTAACCACCAAACAAGCCTGGTCTACAAAGCCAACCAGAAGGGCAGAGAGTAGCTGCTGTTAGGATCAGGCCAGGAGGACGGAGTTGAATACTGAGAGGTCCTAACCTCTGGTCCCTCAGAATGTAACCTCATTTAGAAACGAGAAGTTACAGGAGCTGAGTTTGCACTGCAGCAGGGTGAGCTCCTCATGCAACATGACTGGTGTCCTAAGAGCCGAATTTGAATACAGAGCCAGAGGCATGCAAGGAGAACAATGTATGGCCGTGGAGGCAAAGATTGG